TTTAAAAAAAAATTTGTAAGTGTTTCCTTTTTTTAACATGTATTTTATTAGTCAAAACCATTTATGCAGTAGTGATTTATAAGACAAGATTATTCTTTTGCTGTTATCCAGGATTCTTCCTTTAAAAAGGACATTATATTCGATTGGCATTCCTTTTTTTTTTTCCTTTTTTCTTCAGCCTGACTCCATTACACAAAAATTTTAGTTAGAATGTTTATTTCGCTAAACAGTGATCTATTATGTTTTATGCAAAGCTCATCCATGAAAATTAGAAATTAAATATTATTGGGTGCATTCCAAGTATGAAAATGTTAAAAAAGAAATTTAAGAACAGAACACAAAAATTGGTTCTTTTCGCCGTCCGTCGTGTTACAAAGAGGGTATCCAATTTGAGAATAGACTTAAAATTATCAAGAATAGATTTTCACTTCAGTTGTTAAAAACACTCTACATTTTTATTTATTTGTTTGTAAAAGTGCTTTTTTTAAAATGTATATATTTCTGTTTGTTTTAACGCTATATTCATGTTTTTCATTTTCAATCATATGAGGTTTCCTATTTACTATTTAGGCAGCTTATCTATTCAAAATAATATTTTAATTTAACGTTTAATATAAGTAATTAAGTTAAATAATTTATAATTAAATTTTCAATCGTGATTTTTTTATTACATTACTGTTTGTATTGTAATTTTCTTTTTTTTTTTTTTCAAAATTTTAAAAGTTATTGTAATTAAAATTCTCATATTCATTTCTTTAATTATGCATTCAAATAAATCATTATCAATAAAATAACCATCACCTTTTTTGATTTGAAATAACAACTAATCTACTCATTATTGTTATTTCTATAATCCTACAAAAATTAAAAAAATAGGAGGAACAATTAGGCTATCTTTGCTTCTTACTCATGTGTTAATTAATTAATTAATTAATTGAATTGTTGATTGATACTCATTTAATCAATTAACTGTACTTTAATTTATTATTTTAAATACAAATAATTAAATTAAAAAAATTATATCTAGTCTAATGCAAATTTAATAATTTTTAATGGAAATTGTAATGTCACGCTTCAAATATTAAAATTTTAGTTGTGATATTATCTTAAATAATTAATTGAAATGATTATTCATAACAGAATAATCCAATCATTAATATCTTATTTAAAGTTTATAAATTTAAATTTTATTAAAAATGTATAACTCATCATTTTATAATTATATTAAAAAATTGATAATAAAAAATTGATAGATTTATAATAATAATTAAAAAAGTAATTATATTTTTTTAATTAGAACCAACTAATAATCAGATTCACATATATATATATATATATATTTTTTTTTTTTTTAAATACACAAAAGAACTTACAATGATAAGTGTGAAACCAAGTAAAAATAACCATCCAACGAAATGATGAGATTAATGACAGATACATGAAACCCAGATAGAAAAAACACAATTGAAGCAGAAAATTATAATAAGTGTATGGGTGACAATGCACGACGTCAACGCCTGGTTGCTTATTTGATCGGGAGGCTTCATATCTCTGTCTCTAAGTAGTGTTTTTGACTTTTTTTGTCTTGGCTTTACATTAAACCAAACCTTACTATTTATTAAATATACAAGCAGTAGGTCTGTCATCCATTTTTCTATATATGTAAGTATATATGTATGTATGATTCTCTCTCTGCTAGTGGCGGCCTCAATTAGTTTATATCTTCACAGACTTTCAAGAGTCCAGGTCTCAGCTTTTACAATTACAAATGAAGGTCAAGTTTCCTTCTCTTTTATTTCTGAATTTTCTTTCTTGTTTATTGTCATCGTTTTTCTTTCATATTCATTTGCGTAACATCCCTTTCATGACTACACACACACACATATATATATATATATGCTGTTGCTGTAGTTTTCAATTTATACTAAAATGGTAATTAACGAAAATTTAATTGGTTCTTTTCTATTTCAATCCAGACGATTGAGACTGAGAGTTCACTGACATAGTAATTCTCATGTTTGATTTCTCTTATTTTATAAACTACGGCTCTGTTCTAGCTTTATTACATACTACATATGTATACGTACATATATATGGTTGTATTCTAAGGGTCACACATATATATGTTATAAGGGAAGTTTATTTTGTGTAATAAGTATTGATTTTTGACATGTCAGCCTCTTGTTTCTGTTGCAGAAAGTTGTATTGAAATTGGATTTGCATGATAAAAAAGAAAAACAAAAGGCCATGAAAGCAGTTTCGGTTCTTTCAGGTACTAATACAGTATTCAACATCGATTTGCTCTATCAAAAGTGACAATTGGTACTCAAGATTTTTCTCTTTTGACCTTTTTTTCAAAAAAAAAAAACAAAAAACTAAATCTTATAGGGATTGATTCGATTGCGATGGACATGAAAGAGAAGAAATTAACAGTAATAGGAGACGTTGATCCGGTCGAAATCGTAAGCAAATTGAGAAAACAATGGTGGACAGAGATTTTAACAGTTGGACCAGCAAAGGAGGAGAAAAAAGATGGAGAGAAGAAGGAAGAAGACAAAAAGAAAGATCAAAATGAACAACAAAAATTAGCAGAGCTTCAGAAGGCCTATCTTCAAGCCTACAATCCATACTTCCCAAGATATTACCATGTATTCACTGAAGATAACCCAAATGGTTGTGTCATCTCTTAAAATAATATTCATCTTGTTACATATATATGTCTATATATACGGAGGATTTGGTATATATATATATATATATATATCATGGAGAGACAATAAGTAAATTTTGTATGTATGGGACTGCTCTGTGTTTGTAATGTTAATTACTAGTGGAGTTTGTAATTGTGTGTTAAATGGTAACTAATTTCTCCTTCCCATTTCTTATTTCTTGTTGGGTTGTTTTCTTTCTTTTCTGAATATATATGTGTGTCTATATATATATATATATATATATATATATATGTAAATATTTGTTTGACTTGATTTGACTGGTGGACATTTTATAACGGAGGATCATGGAAAAATCCCTTTCTGGGTTAGTAATTAGGCCCTATATATATATATATATATATATATATATACATATTATATGGAGAGATTTATGCCCCATATATCAATATTGTATTGGTTGGTAATTTGACACTTCAAACTTTTATAGTCCTTGGATTCGTTATCTATAAATATATATATATATATATATATATGTTGGAAAATTAATTTTAAATAAAC